GGGTGGGGGGGGTGGGGGGGGGGAACTCGGGAGTTTCCCACAATGCACCTCTGCAGACTGCATGAAGATGGAGAGCGGGGAGGGGGGGAGAGGGCGCTCCAATCCAGAGGGAAGGGCTGGGATCTGGAGGGGCGGGATGCCAAGGTGAGGGCTGCAGGGAGGTAAAGGCAGCCCAGCTGCATCTCCACGTTCTCTGTAATTTGGGGCTGAGCTGGCTCAGCAGTTCTGGGCTGTCCCTGCGGCACTGACCCCTCTGCTGCTCCATTTGTTTCTCCTCCAAATCCTGCCTGGATTTGCAGCAATTACATGAAACACAGCAACAAAGTGGGGGAGACACACTGGGAAAAACACCTGGGGAGCAGGCCAGCCTGATAAATTGGGATGCCTCTGTGTAAAAGGAGCATGAGCCTCACCCCACCAGGATAAGGGATTTCCAACTGAGGCAGTGAGTTAAGGAATGTCATACTCACTTGCCAAGGAGAAGCTCTGCACAGTGCAGGGAGGACACTGAAATGCTGCACTTTGGGGTAATTCTTGTGCCAGCTCTGCTTCCCTTCTCCCCAGACTGCTCCTTGTCCCAGCAGGCTGGGGTTTGACACCCCTTCCCAGTCTAGAACTGGGCACACAGCCCAGTCCCACTGCAGAGTGCTATCAGCCAGCCAGGCACACAGCCATCTCATCCTCTTCCTCCTCCTCATCCTCACCAGCTAAAAGCAATGAGTCCTCTCTGTTACAGCCTCACCTATGCAACCAGGTGCAGGGCTCAGATTCCCATCCTTGTGTCACTTCCTGCTTGTATCCCAAACCTCAGCAGTTCTGGGATTGTCTGGAGCTCTTTTAGCCCTTATTTCACAGCAAATCAGGCTGTGTGCTACTTGCCCATCTGCCTCCATCAGTTACTTGGGACCCACCAGTGCAGATGGGCAAGTAGCACACAGCCTGATTTCCTGTGAAATACATGTCATGTCTAAAAAACACTCAGGTTGCTTAAATCCCACTGCTGAGAAAAATCCTGCCTATGTTTGAAGAGAGCTGCAGAATGAGGGGCTGGATGTAAGAACCCAAATCTCCCAGGACAGGCTGTGCTTCCAGGGGCTGCTTTGGGATGCAGCTACCCACACCCTGTCAGGGCAGGGATGAGCAAGGTTATTCCTTCTGTAGTCCTTGGCGCCAGGACTCGGCTCAGACAGGCTGGCACGGACAGGATTAGCTGTGGCTGATGCTGATGGCTCTGTTCCCTGTCTGGTCCTGCACCAAGCAGTGCCAGCACTCCCTGCTCTTTCAGAGACTTGTGCCAGGCACAGCCAGGACCTTTCCATGGCTCCAAACAGCTGCTTTCCCTTCCTAACACCTCCCAAATCTGCTGATCTACTGACAGCAGCAGAGGGGCTGAATTCCTGCAAAGCTGGTGGAAATCCACAGTTTAATGCAGGTGACACTCCTAAACCATCGCTTCCCTAGCAAAATCTCTTTGCTACTTCTGTATCAGGCAGGAATATCCTCAAGGTGGCAGGAGGAGGGAGGGAGCCTCCTGCAAGTGGGAATCACTGGGTCCTGTCCCCAGAGCCTGGATGAGCTGAGGCCAGGGGTTCTGGCAGCGTTTTCCTTATGTTCACACACTGCCTCTGCCTTAGGAGATAAAACAGTCCCACATGATGCTCTCACACGCCTCAGACCAGAATTCACATTATATTTAAATTCTGAATGTAACCTTTTTTTTTTTTTTTTTTTTTAAACTGAGGTTGGAAAAAGGGAAGCAAAGGAAAAGCTGTAAAAACAATAAGCTTCCCCCATCTCCCCATGGCAGAGTCACATCCCCCCTAATGCAGCACAGGCACAGTGAGCAGCAGCCCTGGCTGAGACACAGCAAGGTGAAAATGGCTTTTTCAAGGTCAGAAGGAGTGGGAAACCTTTAGAAACGGTGCTGCTGGATTTGCCCCCTCCCTCTCAGCTCACAGCACCTCCCAGGAGGAGTTGGCAGGGATAAGGACAGCCCTGGCTCCTGGGGAGCTCTCCCCTGCAAAACCCACAGGGGAATGTTGGTGGCAGCAGCATCCCTGGGAAGGAGCATAGAATCATGGAATTGTTCACGTTGGGAAAGCCCCCTGAGATTATGATAATCAAGACCAAACGTTCCCCAGCACTGCCCAAGGCCATCATTGTCTCACATCCCCAGGTGCCACATCCACACAGCTTTTAAATCCCTCCAGGGATGGAGACTCCACCACTGCCCTGAGCAGCTGTGCCAGGACTGGAAAACCCTTTCTGTGAAGGAATTTTCCCCAATATCCAGTCTAAATCTTCCCTGGCACGACTCAAGACCATGTCCTTTAGAGAGAAACAGTTATCCCCAGAATTGACATCCTGAAAGCAGGAGGGACAGTTTGATGTCTGGCTCTGAGCAGCGAAATAAGGAGTCCATAGGGAGTCCTTAAACTCCCAATGTGCCTTAAAACACCCTTTCCCCCTTTCCCAGTATTCCTCACAGGCAGCTTTGCTCAACACATCATCCTGGAGCTTTTTTTTTTTCCATCATGGAAAGAAAATCATCACAGAAAATAAAATAATCAAGAGGGTTACCCCCTCCTAATCCAGACACAGGTGCCCTGTTCATAAACTGGAGCAAGCAAACCAGGAGAGCAGGTCACAGCACAGGCTCACACCCCTTTCATCCCTGAGCATTCAAAGATCCTAAAGGAGCCTCTCTCCTTTCCTTGAGCCCCAGTTACAACCCACCCACAGCTGGAGAGGGGGAAAAGGCCACATAGCAGAAAAAAACCTTGTGGCCGTTTGGGCAGCACCATTTGTCCTTAAACTCCCGGGAAAGCAGGATGAAGGACGTTTCTCACAGTGGAATGAATTGCTGCAGCAGCCAAGGTGGGTTTGCCTGGCAGCAGGAAGTCCTTGCAGTGAAAATCCAAGCCTCCCCACTGGCTGGCTTGGGCTTGGCTTCTGAGTTCAGTCCTGGGCACTCCTAGTTGGAGCTGTGCTAGGGACAGGGTCACCAGCTGTGTCCAGGCAACTCATCTCTGCAGGGGATTACATGGGCTTGCAATTCCTCCATAAATGCATTGTTTAAAATCACAGAATGGTTTGGGTTGGAAGTGACCTTAAAGCTCTCAGCACTTTCTGGCAGCCAGCTGGGCAGATTCTTTCCTCCTGAGATGGGGATTAAGGGTATCTCTGCTGAGATCTGTGCTCTGGAGCCCAGGGGCACTGCCTTTGTCTCCTGGAGCATCAGTCAGAGGCTGCAGGCAGCCCCAGGCAGTTGCATTTGCTCCCAGGTGGGTGAGGATGATAAAACAAGAGTTGATAGATCAGGATCAGGACCCAGAAGAATGCCCAACCGACCAGAGTCCCCAAATCCTCACAAACTGTGTCCTTAGTGCCCCAGCCAGACTTAGGAAGCACTGAGCATTGAAATAAGTGGCTGCTGGCTGATGGTGTGGTGGGGAATTTGTCTGAGCTGTCGTCTGACCCTGCTCCTCCTCAGCACAGAGCGCAGGCGGGACAGCAGAGAGCACATGGTCCAGGAGTCCCGGCAGGACAGGGAGCTGGGCACCTGTCCCAGGGAGAGCCCATCCTTCCACAGACGCTTCACCACCCTGACCATCACCAGGGAGCCTCGGAGCAAGCACGGAGCCACGGATGGAACCAGCCAGGGACATGCCAGCGCCGGCAGCGGAGCAGCCACTGCCACCACCGCGCTGTTTGAACCCAGTGGAGACGGGAAAACCCCACAGGTCGTGGTGCTGGTGGGTGCCCCGGGGATGGGGAAGACAACAATGGTCAGGAAGGTGATGGTGGAGTGGAGAGAAGGGACACTCCACACGCAGTTTGACTTTGTCTTCTGCATTGACTGCAAAGCCATCGTCCTTCCCATGGAAGCCAGTGTGGTAGACCTGGTTTCACAGTGCTGTCCTGGCCTGACAGTGCCGGCTGGGAAGATCCTGGATGACCAGAAGAAGATCCTGTTAATTTTTGATGGCTTTGAGGCCCTGGGGTTTTCCTTGGTTCAGCCCGAAGCTGAGCTGAGCTCTGACCCCAGGGAGGTGAAGCCGCTGGAGCTCACCCTGATGAGTTTGTTGAAGAAGATCGTGCTCCCCGAAGCCTCTTTGCTCATCACCATGAGGCCAACAGCTCTTGGAAGCCTGAGGCAGTGCCTGAAGGGTGAGCATTACGTGGAGATACTGGGATTTTCGGCAGCCAGGAGGGAGGAGTATTTCCACAGGTATTTTGAGAACCCCAGCAAAGCAGACATGGCCTTCAGGTTTGCCAGAGGCAACGAGATCCTCTATAGCTTGTGTGTCATCCCTGTCATGAGCTGGACCATCTGCACCGCCCTTGAACAAGAGCTTTGTGGGAAGAAAAACCTCCTTGAGTGCTCCAAAGCCACCACAGAGATGATGACGTTCTACCTCTCCCAATTACTGAAGCACAGGGACAGGGACAACCCACAGGTCCTGCAGCAGTTCCTACTCCAGCTTTGCTCTTTGGCTGCCGAGGGTATCTGGAAGCACAAGGTCCTCTTTGAGGAGAAGGAAATCAAGGACTATGGCTTGGACCAGTCAGGTCTTCTCCCCTTCTTCCTCAGTGAAAGGATCCCAAGGGAAGGAGAAGACCACGGGAATGTCTATGCCTTCACCCACCTGCACCTCCAGGAGTTTTTTGCAGCAATGTTTTACGTTCTGGAAGATGATGGGGAAATGGTCAGCAGCTTGGGGAAGCTTGAGAAGGATGTAAATAAATTATTAGAAAGCTACAGCAAGTCCAGAAAGGATTTGAATGTAACAGTGCGATTCCTCTTTGGTCTGATCAGCCAGAAATCCGTAGAGTACATGGACAAAACCATTGGGTGTAGAATTTCACCACGAGCCAGGGAAGAGCTGCTGGAGTGGCTTCAGGAGAGGCACAGAGGCCTCTCCCACCCTGGCCAAGCACTGAAGGTTTCAGAGATGGACACTTTCCACTTCTTGTTCGAGATGAATGAGAAAAGCTTCACACAAAGTGCACTGGGTCATTTCACTGACCTGGACTTGAAGGACACCAAGCTGACCCTGTATGACCAGATGGCTCTTTCCTTCTGCATCCAGCACTGGGCTGGGCTGGGCTGTATCAGCCTCCAGGGATGCTCCTTCCACTGGCAGGATCCTGAAGCAAAGCTGGATGCGTCAGTGCCTTGGTAAGTCCTGCTCCTCCTTGCTTTAATGACCCAAAAGGATTTCTCTGGCCCAAAGGATGACTCAGTTCCTCCCTTCCGAACACCAGCTTGGCCTTTCACTGGAGTGATGGAGTTTCTTGGCTCGACCTGGCCAGGTCCACCTGTGCCCAGCTGTCACTCTAGTTCCCGGTCCCCCTTCTCCCTTGCAAAGGGGGATCCCTGGTGCTGGAACATTAAGCGCACCCTGTGACTCACATCTCCCTAGGTGGCTCCAGCAGCAATGCTCCAGGTCCTTCACACCTCCAAAACCACAAAGGTCCCTCTGGAGGAGCCCTCCCATGCACTGAAGGCTCTGACTGGGGCAGGGGGGTTGTGTGCAGGTGCCAGTGTTGGAGCTGGGAGCTCCCAGCACTGCTGAGGGCTGCATGTGCCCCGTGGCTCTGTTCCCCTGCAGCTCTGGAGTCTTGGGAGCCAGAGGAGATCCCAGTGCCCTCATCCTGCGGCGGCGGGAGGAGCTGCCCTGCCCCATCCATCTGCTCTGCCGGGCTCTGCGGCACCAGGACAGCGCCCTGCAGGTGCTCCGGTGAGAGACACACATGGAGCCCAAACCAGGGCTGGGATCGGGGTGTGGGTGGGGGCACCTGAAGCACAGTGCAGTGGGTGAGTGGGTTGGTGCTGCCCCTGCAGCAGGGACACTGCCTAGCTGCCAGGGGGAGGCCAGGCCCTGTTTACCTGAGGGTGGGTGTTGTCCCTCAGGTTCAGTGGGCAGGTGAGCAGCCAGGACAGGTGAGGTGTGCTGAGCTGCCATTCTCCGCGCTCTCCCGCAGGCTGCAGTGGTGCCGGCTGTCTGAGAGCTGCTGTGCAGAGCTGGCAGCGCTGCTGGCGGAGCATCCTGGCCTGGCCTGTCTGGAGCTGGGTGACAGCTCGCTGGGTGACAGCGGCGTGCGCCTCCTCTGTGAGGGGCTGCAGACTCCAGGCTGCCGCCTGCGCGTCCTGCGGTGAGCACCCCCAGCGTCCGTCGGGCATCTCGGACCTGAGAGCTGGGGTGGCGACCCCAAGGGTCCCCATGGGGTGGCATCGTGTCTCTGTCCCACTCTTCCAGGGCAAGGAGATCCAAGGTTCTGGCACCAGGGTGGGGACAGCCACCATGGTGGGATGGCAATGAGGGTCTTTCCCGGGGTTCCCATCAGGCTGCGGTATTCCCGCATCACCAGTGCCTGCTGTGAGGACCTCGCCGCTGTGCTACGCACCAACACGTCTCTGGAGGAGCTGGATTTGTCTTTCAGTGAGGGGCTGCGCGACACTGGCGTGGAGCTGCTGTGTGAGGGGCTCAGGCACTGCGGCTGCCCACTACAGACACTGCGGTAAAGGGGCTGTGGGATGGGCCAGTGCTCCCTCCTTGCTATCTAGAGCTTTCTCCTTCCCACCTGGAGCAGCTCACCTAGCAGAGGCCAAAACCCTCCTTCCCTGTTTCCCTCGCTCCCGCAGGCTGGGGAGCTGCCGGCTGTCGGGTGCCTGCTGCCCTGCCCTGGCTGCGCTTCTGCTGCAGGGGCCTCGTCTCACCTGCCTGGACCTGAGTGACAACGAGCTGGCAGCCCACGGCGTCCTGCAGCTCTGCCAGCAGCTCCGGCATCCTGCCTGCCCGCTGCGGAGCCTGGGGTGAGGGCCCTGCCACGGCCTCTTCCATGCCCGGTATCCCCGAGCTGGTGTGCAGAGTAGGCGGCGCCACGCCGGCATCCCAGCTGTTTCAGCACCTCCCTCCTTGCCACATCAAACACCTTCTCCTCTTTTCCTGCCTCCTCCATGCCCAGGCTCAGCACAGACGGCTTCAGCCAGGCCCTGCTGCAGGAACTCGACGCCCTCCGGCCACTGCAGCCTGCCCTGAAGATCGGGAACCTCCTGGAGCATGACGTGCCGCAGGCAGGGGCCATGGCCAGGCTGCCCTGCCACCGTGGGCTCCTGCCGGGCCGCAGCAAGGCGCTCCCCTCCTTCAGGAGACCTCCACTCCTTTAGGAAAACTCATTCCAACAACCAGAGCCATTCCCAGCCCAGCTCAGTGCTGCGAGTGCATCTGAGCCTGCCCCACCTGCAGGGCACAGCAGATCCTGCTGCATCTGTGGGGGATCCGGGTTCTGCCCTCTCCTTTTCCCCTCGCTTTTCCTGGGAACACTTGGGTGCATTTGCCACTACCAAATAAACACCCTGCAGACAATCCCAGGAATTCCCCTGTGCTCTTTCCCCTCATCCCAGCATACCCGTGGATCTGTCTACTGTTCCAGTTCCTGCCCCGTGTCATTCCCCAAGGAATGGCTGATGTACATTCATTCAAGGAATGAATGATGGAGGTACCAGCACCAGAGTGAGGTCCTAGCCTTGGGAGTGAATCCCTGACCAGTCTGGGTTTTAATAGGAAAAAAGGGAAATTCACAATGAAATCAAAGAAAATCCCTACACAGGAGCTGTTTCCCTGCAGGGCTGGACACAGAGCTCTGTAGCCATGGCCACCCCTCCCTGGGGACAGGGGCCCACCACAAAGCCACACAGTGTCCCCAGGGCTGTGGCATGGCCAGGGCATCCTCATGGCAACGTCCCCGATGCGCTGCTGCCCACATCATCATAGTCCGTGTGCCCCGGTGGCTCTTCTGAGGGCTCCCTGGAGGCTCCTGGGGGAATTGGAGGGGAGTGCATCCCACCTTGGGACAGCACAGAAAGGGGCCTGAGGGGACAGGTAGCTCCATGTCCCCCCATCACAGACCCCACCTGGGCTCTGACCACAGCACCCACGGATCTGCTGCTGGCTCCCTGCCTGCCCCCACAGCCAATTCCTGCCATGGACTGGCTCTGCAGAGGGAACAGAGCAGCTGGGAGCCCTCTTACCTGTGGGGAGGACACGGATCCACCTCTGCTGTGCCACTCCCTCGGACATGTCCCCAGTGCTGGGAGCTGGGGGCTCCTCTGGCACACCCAGGGCGTCGTCGTAGCCATCCGGGGTTCCTGGCTCGGGCCAGGCAGGGGGCTCTGGGACAGGCACAGGGGTCCATGGCAGCGACCAGCGGCCCTGGCAGGGCTCTGGCTGTGCCATCCCCTCCAGCATTTCCACTGGCCATGAGCTGGAGGCCGCAGGGAAAGGCCATGCTTCCCTGCACACTAACAAGAGGAGGACTTGTCCCCTCATTTCCCTGGCCCGGCTGTGTCCTCTGTCCCCGCTCTCCCCGCTGGCTTCCTGCCCTGCGGCCCTACCTGGGGCTGCCTCGCTCTCACTGCCCTCCACGCTGTCCCCGGTGTAATACGGCAGCTTCTGCACCGATCCCTTCGTCAGGGAACCTGCAGGGACTTGGGGGTGGCATCAAATGGCACCGCAGGGGACAGAACCTCACACCACAGAGCGGGGCTGCTGTGGAACTGAGGGGCCACCCCGGCCCATGGCGAGGAGCCACCACTGGCCACCGGGGCCCGGAGCTGCCATGGGGCTGTCGGGCAGAGCCTTCACTCCAGGCAGAGCTGGGGCACAAGGGCTGCACCCACCTGGGCGACTGGGCACCTCCAGGTGCTCCGGCATGGCGCTGTAATCCAGCTCCTCGTAGACAGCGTTGGAGATGGCATCCGCAGCTCTGCCAGCACCTGCAACAACCCACAGCATTTACCTGGGGCCTTGGGCACTGTGGGTGGCACCGGGCTCACCCCTGGCCACCTCCTCAGCTCTTCTGCAGGGCAGGGGCCCGGAACCGGCTCTGTCCCGTACCCATCCACCGGGACTCACCTCGCTGCTGGGCACGGGCACGGGCACGGCACAGCAGCACGGCCAGGACACCCAGGGTCAGGCACAGCAACGTCCCCAGCACCGCGTACACGATGGTTGGCACAGGCACAGTCTCCATGGCCACTGCCAGGGTGCTTCTGCTGGGGACACCTGTGGCTACACAGCCAGGCATGAGGGGAGGGGGATCCCAGGCAGCCTGCCGTGGGCCATGCAGGCACGGGCACAGCTACCTGCGCTGGTGGCACCCTCTGGATATGAGGTGGCGTTTGTCTCAGCGGTGCCGTCGCTGTCCTCCTCGCAAGCCACGTGGGCGTCCCCGCCAGCGCCGCAGCTCTGCAGGTGCCAGGCTGCCGAGGGGCACCCCCAGAGCGAGCGGCTCCCGTCCTCGCAGCCCACCCAGGCCAGCCAGGCACGGGACGGCTGCGGGCCGGCGACGGCCGACAGCCAGCCCCGGTCCCCGCAGCCCAGCTGGCGGCAGACGGTGCCGGCGGTGCCGGGGCCGGTGCCGTTGGCGCACACGCGGCCCCGGGTGCCGTTGTAGGACACCTCCAGGAAGCCCCGGCAGCGCCCGCGGCCGCCTGCCAGCCGCACCGAGACCTGCTCTGCAACGGGACCGGCGGGGTCACGGCACGGCCGGCAACCCCCCCCCGGGGCCCGCGCCGGCCTCTGCCGGGGCTGCCCGCCGCTCACCTGAGCACACGGCCCCTGCCCCGCCGCCGCGCCCGCACTCGCGCCGTTCCGAGCGCCCGCATTGCCACAGAGACTCCTCGCTCCCGGAGCACTCGGGCGCGTACGGCCACAGCGGGCCCGTGCCGGCACCGAAGCGCGCCGAGCTCGCGGCCTCCAGGGCCGTGCCACAGCCCAGCTCACGGCACACAACGGCAGCGTCCCGCACGTCCCAGCCTTCCTGGCACACGCTGCTCCAGCCGCCGCCCCAATAGACCTCCACGAGCCCGGCACAGCGCCCGGAGCTCCCCACCAGCCTCACCCGGCGGCTGCCTGCGGGTACACAAGGGCGACGCTGGCATGTCTGCCTGGGGCACCGCCACCTCCCGCCCTTCTCGGGACACCCACCTGAGCAGAAAAGGTATGTGCCGTGAGGGACGCCAGCAGGTGCAGTGGTCAGCCACTGTAAGAAATAAGTTGATACCTGGTCCTGAAATAAGTAACTGGGCAGCTCATCAGGCCACTCGGTCAGCGCAGTGGTCTTCCCCAGGATGGTTATGATCACGCTTTCCATGATGGCCCTCTCCGTCGCGTCGATGCCCCCCAGGGTAACATTACCGGGGACAGCGTTGCTCTCGTCCAGTTCTCCACAGCCCAGCTCCCAGCACACCTTGCTGAAATTCCGTAGAAGCAACAGGTCTCCCGGCACACGGCGTATGGCCCCGGTCTTTGTGGCCACCTCCAGCCACCCATCGCACCGGGTCTCGCCCTCCACCAGCCGCAGCGACTCGACAACGCCTGTAAAATAGCCGCAGTCAGCCCTTCATCCCAAAATAACCCTCTCTCTTCTCCTCCCAGTTCCTGAGGTGTCCCAAAAGCCCTTCAGGCTCCTCCGCAGGTGCCCTGCACACCTGAGCATTTGACGGCGGCGGCGTTGCCGGGGGCACAGGGCGGCTTCCCCAGCACGGTCACGGGGCACTCGCCCGGGTGCCGCTCGCTCCCGCTGCAGCCGAAGGCGTCCGGCCGCAGCGGTCCCTCCCCGCTGCCGAAGGAGCCTCCCGGGGACACGCCGAGGGCGCTCCCGCAGCCCAGGTGGCGACACAGGACGTGGGCATCGGGCAGGTCCCACTCGCTGGCGCACACGGAGCCCCACGTCCCCCTGAGCGCCACCTCCACCCGGCCGGAGCACGCCGAGCTGCCGTTCTCCAGCCGGAAGCCCGTGTAGGCTGCGGGAGGAAAAGCCTTGAGGGCGCTGATGGCGCAGGGACCCCAAGAGCCCCCGGGGTCCCCGGCACTTACGGGAGCAGATGACGCTGCCAGGGCCGCTGCAGCCCCGGCCGCGAGGCGGACGCCGGGCACAGGCGCTGAGGAGGGGCTCGGTGCCATGGCACTGGAAGCCTCCGTCCCACAGCGACCCCGATGCCGCCCCAAAGCGGCCGCTGCCGGGGACGGAGAGCACCGGCCCGCAGCCCAGCTCCCTGCACACCACCTGCGCCGCCTTCACGTCCACCTGATCCTCGCAGACACCAAGCCAGGCCCCGCCCTGCCGCACCTCCAGCTGCCCGGCGCAGGCCCCGTCACCTCCGACCAGCCGGGAAAAACCTGTGGGAGCAGCGCAGGCTCAGTGCCAAGGGATGGGCGTGAAGTGCCACACGCCCCCCCAGTCCAGCTCCTACCTGTGCAGACCACGGCAGTGTCGAAGTCACGGAAGCTGATGTTATAGGGTCCCCAGCCACGGATCTCGCAGTCCCAGAGCGTGGCCTCGAAGCCCTTGCAGTCCACCATGGCCACGTTGACTGGCCCGTCCCCTGGGTCGAAGCGGTCGAGGACGAAGTAGGCGCCGGCAGCCGAGCCACAGCCCAGCTGCTGGCAAACCACCTCGGCATCCTCCATGTCCCAGATGTCGTCTCCCACCGAGCCCCAGCGGCCATGCAGCTTCACTTCCACCCTTCCGGCACAGGGACTGCCGCCGCCCGCCAGCCTCAGCTCCACGCCATCTACACCGGGCCACGGGCAGGGCTCAGAGCTCCCCGGCACGCTTGCAGCACAAGGCGGCCGTCCCAACGTGGCCAGCGTGTCCCCTCACCTGTGCAGATCACCCCCACGTCCCGCTCGTGGCCGCAGAAGTGCTCTCCCCATCCGAAGTGTGGACACTCCTGCAGCGCATCCTCGGTGCCGCGGCAGAAGAAGGGATGCAGCCATATCCGCCCGCTGCCCTGCCCGAACGGGGCGTACGGCGACGCCTTGGCCACCCGGCCGCAGCCCAGCTGCCGGCACACCACCGTGGCCCATCGGTCTTCGAAGTCGAAGTCGAAGGTGCACACGGAGCCCCACTCACCGCCGTGCTTCACCTCCACACGCCCGGCACAGCGCTCGCCGCCGCCCACCAGACGCAGCTCCCCGGAGCCTGCGGCACCGAGGCTGCCGAGCCCGGCCCCGATCCCAGCCGCCCGGCACTTACCCCCACGCAGCTGCGTGCACAGCAGCAGCCCCAGCAACACCATCGGCCCCATGCCACCGGCCCCAACCCAACGCAGCCAGGGCAGCTCTCGCCCGTGCCCGATCCAATGCAGGCGGCAGCACCGGCGCAGCCTTTATCAGGCGCCTCATCTCCCGGCTGCGGGGCCGCAGCCTCCAATAACCTGCTCCGTGCCCAAATATGAACCTCGGCTCCGCTTCTGGCGTCACACACCTCGCCACAGTGGGCTGCCACACGGATGTCCCCGAGGGGGAGACGGCCCCCCCAGAGCACCTGGGATGCGGGGGCCCTTCCTGTAGCCCCCAGGGCTCTAACTCTGCTGCCGGAGCCCGGCAAGATCAATCCTGATGTGGACAGGCTTCACCCCAAACCCATAGCAACATCAAGCACGGGACCAGCTGTAGGTCCTGCACCTGCAGAGCTCCGAGCCCCCATCCTTGGGGTGCTCCCCTCCCGGGCCGCTCGGAGCCCCCGCGGGGGGCGGCAGGTGCCGGCTCCCCGGTCCCTCGCGGCGGCGCTGGCACATGGCGCTGCTGCCGCAGCTGCGGCCCCGCGCTCGCCTCGCCGCCAGGGCAGGAAGGAGGCGGTCACCCCCCGGCGGCTCCCGGCGTCGTCATCGACCGCACGCGGCTCCCGACACCTGCGCTGCCTCCGAGAACGCCGCGCCGCCCCTGCCCCGCGGTGAAGCCACACAGGGGGGGCACAGAGCCCACTTGATTTTGGGGCGACCCAGCTGGGTAAGCTGGGACCAAGCAGCGCCGAAAAACAAGTGGTGCAAGAGGGGGGAGGAGGTGCTCCCTTGAGTTCTTGGCTGTGTGTGAAGGTGAGGACGGGGCCGAGCCCCCCCGCAGCAATACTGAGCAGTGTCAGTGCCGGCAGAGCAGCGTGCTCCCTACGGGGTCACTCCTGCAGCACCGCAGTCACCTCCGTGAGCTACCAGCCTTTCTGTGGGACTGGGGACCTGCCACCTGCCAGTGTCCTCGTGTCACCCCAGGATGGCTTGTGGACTAAACTGAACCCTGGTAACCCCGAAGGTGTGCCCCCCAATGGTGTCGCGCTGCCAATCCTTCCTGCCCGCACGGAGACCCTGCCGGGGCTGGCGGGAGCAAAAGACCAGGCTACGCTCTGCCCGCAGCGGGCGGGACCCTTACACTGGGTCCCCGCGATATTATCCGCCTCTCATCCTACACCGCGTCCTTCTTGGTAGGTGGCAAAGTGTCACAGGAGGTGTTCACTCCGGGACGCCTGCCGCGTCTCCTGGAATTGCACCCGAGAACGGAGGAGGAGAGACGGGAAATCAGAACCACGTGGGAACCGGGTGCTCGGCTCCCCCGCTGGACACGCCTCCTTATCAATGGCCACGCCCCTTTCCCGGGGCCCCGCCCCGCAGCACCACCTCCGTGCCGGCAGGGGGAGCCCCGCGCAGCCACGACTATCCGGAAAGAATCGAGCGAAGGCGGAGGCGGCCGAGCCAGGGCTGGCGGCGCGGGTGGAGCGGGCGCGATGGAGCAGCAAGTCGAGCAGCTGCGAGCGGACGGCGTGGACAAGGAGGTGCTGCGGGAGGGCACCGGGCCGCTGCCAGACTTCTGCGACGGCACCAAGGTCAGGTCTGCGGGGAGACGGGCGGGGTGGGGGGATGTGGGAAGCGGAACGCGGCGGGGGATGCGCGCATGCGCGCTCCCCCTCCCCCTCCCCACGTCTGCGTCGCCATGGTGACGCCGTGGGCTCCTCCTGCCTGTTCAGGCCACTTTCCACTACCGGACGCTGCGATGTGGCGATGAGGAGACACCGGTGGACGATAGCAGGGCACGGGGGAAGCCCATGGAGCTCATCGCCGGGAAAAAGTTCAAGCTGCCGGTGTGGGAAGCGGCTCTGCGAACCATGCGGCCCGGCGAGCGCGCCCGTTTCCGCTGCGACGCCAAGGTGGGCGGGAGCGGGAGCTTTCGGGGGCGTGGCTTGTGGGCCAGGGCGTGGTTTGTGGTCGGGGGCGTGGCCCGCGCGGGTGGGCGGTGACTTTCTGCTGTGGGCGCGGGTGGCGGGCGCCGCGGTGCGCTCCAGCCGCGGGGTGCGAGGCTGGAACGTCCTGATATTCTCGCCCCCCCCCCCCCCCCC